GCCATCTGCCTCCACTTCCAAAGCAATATTGTTTTCAGGATTAATAGGGACATCTAATTTCAGGAGCAGATCAAGGTCTTCATCCAAATGATCTATTACTTGATGTAAACTTGAAGGATTTCTCTGAAAAGCCTCTGAAGAAATTCCAGATTCATCTTTATTTGACAAATTCAAGGAAACAGCAGAATCTTCCTTGGGATAACAGTGCGACCCAACTCTCTTTTGCTGTTGTAATAGATCGCCACTCTTCTTGGCCACATCATGACTTTGCAGCTTAATCTGGGGAAGTGTGACTGGAGTTGCATCCTACAGTAATAAGAAAAAAGGTCTAAACGATGTTTAGCTTCGGCCAGGAAAAAAACACCCAGTAAATTTAAATTTAAACCTTATTCTTTTATTTTTCTTATATGTAACCATTTCATGTATTCACAACTATGTATACATTTATACTTATTATCTTGTAAGCAATTGGCAAATCAAATAAATAAAATAAATAAAATAAATAAATACTCATCTATACATATTCACACTATGGATAATAAGCTCATACTGTATAGAAGTACAGGTAGTCTTCAACTTACAACAGTTCGCTTAGTGACCAAAGTTCCAATGGCACTGAAAAAATAGACTTGACTGTTTTTCACTGTTACATTTCCATGATCATGTGATCAAAATTCAGATGCTTGACAACTGCTTCATATTTATGACCGTTGCTGTGTCCCAAGGTCCTTTGATCCCCTTTTGCAACCTTCTGACAAGCAAAGCCAATGGAGAAGCCAGTCTCACTTAACAACCGGATTACTAACTGATCAATGGCAGTGATTCACTTAACGGAGGCAAGAAAAGTTGGAAAATGGGGCAAAACTCATTTAACGAATGTCTTGCTTAACAACAGAAATGTTGGACTCAGTTGTGGTTGTAAGTCGAGGATCACCTGTATAGGAATATTGCTCTAGAAAGTAAGATTAATATTTTAATAAGCTCCAGTTTCAGCCTTTTATTTACCAAGATACATGTGCCGTACCAATAACCTGCATAATCTTCTTTCTTTCTTTTTCAAGGATTTGCCTGCAATCTTTTTATACTTATGCTTTCTCCCGAAACAAGCCTGAGGTCAGACAAAAAAAATCAGTGGAACCATCTGCCAAGTCCTTTTCAAATGAAAACCATTCCAATGCTCTTTTCCTTCGAGCATCCAAATAGTAACGACAGCTTCCTTTCCTCACTTAGTTTGCAATTTCATTTGATTCCTCAGGAAGCTAGAAAAATAATGCCAACAGAATGGCAAGCATTCATTCTACTGAACAGCAGTCTTTTATTTTACCATTGAAAGATGTGATCAGCTTACAATAACCAAGGATACCAAATTGGTCCATTCAGTAGCAAGAAAAAAACAAGAGAAAAAAATGTAGCTTCCTACAGCCTGCAGTTCATTGACTTGGTGGCTCTAATCAGGCACAGTAGGAGAATCTGTTACTTCATTACAGCACAGAATGTGCCCTAACAGTAGATTAAAACCAGTAGATTAAAAACAAAAACCAGCCACTGCTTTTTAAACAATTAACAGCAGGAAAGGCAATGACATCCAGCCTTGCCATTGTATGTAAAGGAAGGAATTTGACTTGCAAAATAAATGCAAATTTCTCTGCTACAGTCACAGAAGTGACTTTGAGTTGGAACAAGAAAAAAAGTGAGCAACATCAATATCTAAGTCGCTTTAGGCAATCCCTCAGGAGAAAAAAAAAACAGATTTGGGTTCTTATGTAGCCACCTTTTATCTAACCCGGAATGATTTTTCTAGCATTTGATATACCGTTAAGTTTACCCAACAGCTACAGCTAATTCACACAACTCCTTTTCAGTCTACCTGAATATTTTGCTTTTTTCCCCCCCCTTCCCACAGTCAGAAGATATTTTATATTCATGATGCTACCAGGAATTATAAACTCTGGGCAAAAGTAATTGTTTTTTTTATATATAGGTCTGTGTAGCACTGCTGAATTAGATCCACAGCATAATGGACAAGATCAAAGCAAAGATTATTGTAAAGATCAGTGAGAAGAAGAAAGAAATGTTCTCTGTGAGGTTGCTAACAAGAGTGTTTGTGTGGGGTGTGTGTATCAAAATCTGGAGTAACAAAACTAGAACGAGCAAGTCTTTGGGGATGCTAGCCTTGACCTAAATGCACTTGGCAGGTGGAAAATATAAAACATTTTGTTTTTGAGGAGCAATGAAGCCGAAGAAGTGCTGATAGGAAATTCTGCTATTTAATAGCATTCCTCCCTTGTAGAGCTGAAGTAATAACATTAAAATAATATGAGGCTGTTCAGCTTACAATATGGCTCAAGGTATTTTTGAGGAGGATGGGTATTACCTGTACCACTTCAGCAGCCACGTTGAGTTTGAGGTGCAGAGGCAGCTCTTCCAGCGCTTGAACCAAGGACTGGCAGTCAACGTACAATCCTGACAACTGAAAACAGAATGCATGCACACTAAATGAAAACTGCATTCATTTTGATCACCCTGTTAGTGCAACAAAGTCTTTTCTCCTAGGTTGGGGAAGACTAACAGCATGCAATACCTTTATTCTTTCACTGCAAGCAAAGCTGTAACCGATTTCCATTACATTGGATTGAGTGACTCATGCACACCTGATTTCATATAAAAACTGAAGCACTAACAAGCAACCATCTATTACCTTGAACTTCATAATTCTGACAACATTGTTTGATTTCCTTTACCTCAGTATGGGTTCTGGGATGTTGGGCATTTTCTGAAAGATTGTGGCAACAAGCCACTGCACAAGATAGGCAGAGGCACCAGAACTATTATTCCATTTTTATCCAGAGGATAAAAAAAATCAGTGCAATAAGCTTCCACTTATTATTTTTTTAAATAGAGGACGATACTTTTTACAAAAACTTTTTAAAAATTACTCTTATCGTACTTGTTGTTATTTCAATGGTTTAGAGTTCTGCAATCTGTTTTTAAGATGCCATGAATGTCTTGTTTGTATTTTGCCTGATACTTCATAGCGCAAAAATGATATAAATATATTGCTGATTAAATGAATAAATAACTAAACAGAACCTGAACCAATTCAGAAAACTTGTAGATCTTTGTCTTTTAAAATTTGTTCACTGCTGATGTTTTGAAATTTGCTATTATTTTAAGCCTGAAGATACTTGTAAAAAAACATTCTAACACTTTATCAGTGTTTGAAATGACCAAATTGTTTTCACTCAAATAATCTGCAAAAATATGAATTAATGATACTGTACTGATATCTACTTATGTAGAGCCTAAAATAGTAATCATATGACTCCTTTGAAGTTCATGTTACTTTTCTGAGACAATAGAACATAGAATAATAGAGTTGGAAGGGACCTCGGTGGTTTTCTAGTCCAACCTCCTGCTTGACCAGAAGACCCTATATAATTTCAGACAGGTGGCTGTCCAGTCTCTTGTGGAAAGTCTCCAGTGATGGAGCACTCACAACTTCTCAGGGCAACTCATTCCACTGGTTGATGGTTCTCACTGTTAGGACATTTCTCCTTAGTCCTAGGTTGCGTCTCTCCTTGATTAGATTCATCCATTACTTCTTGTCTTGCCTTCTGGTGCTTTTTAAAATAGGTTGACCCCCTTCTTCTTTGTGGCAACCCCTCAAATACTGAAACACTGCTACCTCCCCTAGCCTTCTTTTCACTATACTAAACATACCCAATTCCTGCAACTGTTCTTCATATGTCTTAGTCTTCAGCCCCCTAATCATCACTGTTGCTCTTTTCTGCACTCTTTCCAGAATCTCAATATACTGTATTTTTTATATTGTGGTGACCAAATAAATAATAAACAAGACAAGAAAAAAAAATTCATGGAACTAAATACAAGAAATTCTTCAAAGGATTCCTCAAAAAAATGTCACCATTCCATAAGATATCCTCCTTTGTGCCATTGGATGTTATATTCTTAATGGAAACAAGATCACAGTATGATGTCATTTCATCGATGTCTTCTGTAATGAGCATGACAAATGAGAAAAGGAAAGCCAAACATGAGATCCAATTCTAAGCAGCAGCCTAGGATCTTCTCTGATTTTGGCACAGACATTAATACAAAACAAGGGGATAGAAATCATAGAATGCTTTCCTGAGCAGTTGCTGACATTATGATTTCACTTCATTACAGACTCTCAAAGAAAAACTATAATCTTACATTAGCAATTCCCTAACTTGAACAATAAGGCTAGGATAAAATCAGTAGATAAATCTTCTGTCTCCTCACCTCTTTTTAGTAAATTAGTCCTCAAGTTGCAAGAAGTTATTTATCTTACAAATTTGACTCTCTTTCAAAGTCCCTGTCAGTACCTTCCTCTGAATTGTGTTTGATAAATCACTTGCTGTTCACCCAGAAGTGGTATTCAGCAGGTTCTGACCAGTTCTGGAGAACTGGTAGCAGAAATTTTGAGTAGTTCTGAGAACCAGCAAATACCACCTCTGACTGGAGATTTTACAGTATCCTTCCCCTGCCACAACCACCAAGCCACACCCACAGAACCGATAGTAAAAAAAATTTGAATCCCACCACTGCGTTCACCCTTTTCAACAGAATTTTAGAACCCAGATCATAAATTAGGAAGGTAATCCTTTTTTCTTGGGTGCCTAAATTATCACCAAATTGATCTTGCCTTAAAAAGCCAGCTTAAAGGTGGAACAATGGTGGAACCTTGCTTTAAGCATGTCTTTTATATATAGGTCTCAGAAAAAAAACAAAACATTTCAGAATACTAATCACAATAAGGTAGGCAATGTAGCCCAATGATCTGATCAGGTTTGGATCCTGGCATAAGTAGCTGTTATCCATCTTCCAAGGTAACTATCAATACATTTCAGCAGGATGTGGCAACATCTACTACTGTGCCAAAATGTTTAGTATCTTTTTTTTTTACTACTTCATGTAAAAGTCCTCTTCTATCAAAACTTAACAGCTAATAGCCATGCCTTTGAACCCTACAATGGACTTTCAGTAGCTTTTCTTCTCGCTGTATCAAACTATGACAGAATTTTATAGTAGACAACTTTCTGCTTACTAAAACCACACTGTATGTGTGGCTGATACAGACTCACGTGTACAACTTGTACTGTTTCACTCAGGTGCAGATTCAACTATAGCCCATGTCCATTTTTTTAAAGATACATACTTTATTGATTTGTTTGGGCTGGTACTAAGATTTAACATGGATGTGGGAGGACTGATTTTAATAGTTTTTATGCAATAGCTGGGTTATTTTACTCTCCTTAGATTTAATAACACTTACTTAGCATTTATAAAGAGCACTTTAAGTGTTCAAAGCACTTTGCATACATTACTTTAATAATCCTTACAAAGTAAGGAAGTAATATAATTCTTATTTGCCTGAGTTTTGTGTGTATGTGTGTGTGTGTGTGAGTGTTACATGAAGACTGAGAACAGTAACAATTGCCTATTGTTTTAAGATGATTGCTGAAACAATATTATTTTAACAATTTTATCAGTTTTACAGGTATTAAACAACCCATGCTCCCTTGGGTCATCATTTCAGGAAAAAAAATCCTTATCTAAATAGAGAAACAGAATGACCACAGGTGAGCAAAAAAAAAAAACAGAGGGAGCAGGAATGACTTCTAACCACTTTCCCATTGAATTTTCTTGTGGGAAGCTGGTAAGGAAGCATTAGAAATCTTCAAATCTTCTGTCTTTCCTTCTTCCGTTTTCCCTTTCCAGCAGAGAGGTAAGTGGCTGCTGCTGGGAAGGAAACAGAGTGAGGGAGTGTGAAAGCGGCTGGGAAACTATCACAGAATGTTGAAAATGCAGATCACATGACTACAGCAGCATCCTGCGGCCTTTAAGCAGTCGCAACTGTCCCCAACTTCATTTCCTTGGGAGTTGTAGGTCTCAGATTCATTCTACAAGGTAGTCCGTTTTGACGTAGCTTGATTCAGAAATTATTGCCCTGTGATGATGCACTATTTCACTCTTTCAAAGGTTACAGACACAAGAATTTCAGTTCAAAAACCTACTATATCTGAAAGATAACGGTCACTCTTTTGAAGACAGCAAAGTTCACATTTTGGTCAGAGAGAACCACTGGGCTGAGAGAGGGGTCAAAGAAGACATCTATGTTAAAAGTGAACAGCCCTATTTACAACACAGTCTTTCAGTAGTCTTATGAAGATTCCACACCCATTTGCACTCTGATTCAGGTGACACAGGGGGTACAGATAAACCCCCAAGTGGCCTCAATGACTCTCAGAGAACTAATGGCTGAACTAATGCCTTCAGAATGCCAATGACCATTCCCCTTCAGTCAGAACCGGAGAAGTTTCTTGGAGGAGAAGCAAAACATTTTCAAGGAACCCCCACCCCCAAGAAAGTCCAATTATCTTTTGAAAAGCATTTTTGGGGCATAACCTGGATGATTGAGAATCTCCATACATATAAGCCTATTTCACTCAGATGAGACACAAAACAACTATTACTTGCTCCACTATCTGATGAAGAGTTTAAACAATATTAAAATGCCCAACAGTAAAATACCAGGACTGAATAGATTTCCTATAGAGTGGTAAAATATTAATATATTTTTTGGGGGTGCCAAAACTGTCAATTTCATCATGAGGTACTTAATAAGGGAATATTACCAGAGATATTATATTGCAATTAAACAAGAGTTATAATAGTACATACTGCAAATATTTATTAACTGCCATGGAAATAATGAAATTTTAAAAAGATACACAGCAATTTTTAAAAGAAAGACTTGTTCTCCATTACCTGCTTTGGGCAAAGGTTTTCTGAAACCCATTCTTTTTCTTCAGTAAATCTGAATTGGGTAAAGGAATCGCCTGAAAACAAAATGACATTTAAGTTAAATAGGCCACCCCATTTATCAGAAATGACTGAGGTTACATTAATGAAAAAAAAATCAAGCTTGATGCACAAATAATATATCATTCCCTGTTTCACACTATTCAAGACAGCAACCACAATGATAAAAATGGTGAGAACATAACTTAAGAGTAAGTGTAAGGACCAGTCAGATGAATAAGAGTTATAGTTCAGCTTCTTATTATGCTTCCAGAGTCCCTGTTTATTGTCTTTCAGACTGAAAGAAACCACATGTGGGATAGTCCATGTTACAAACCAACAGGAAACTCCTTCTCTTAGTAAAACAGATTTTACAAAAGGTAGAGCACACTGCACACTTCATGCAGCTTCCAGCAAGAATTAAAACTGGCATAACCTAATTCAGAGAAATAGTTTTTATTCTGTTTGAAGAAAACTTCATCAATTAGCGTGTACACTAAAGGCAAGTTTGTGTTCAGGTTTGTGTAATTCTGAAACTAGCATTGTTTAATTTCAACACTTCCAGCATGCTGTATATTGGTTCAGGTCTAAAGCAAAATGTTGCTTTAGAAAACCTGCTGAATCGTTCTCCCTGTTAAACGAACAGAGGGAAATGAATGAACTGCTATAATATGTTTAACTTTTGAGAGAACTTAATGATCACTGCATTTTGAGGGATGAAACATTCCCAGTTAGAGGCAGTTGCAGAATTTGTCCACAAGGGAGAAAGCAATTCCTGTCCCCTCTTTCCAGGGGAAGGAGAAATTGATAAATATTGTATTGCTTCATGTGTTTTTTTTATAATGTATTTTTTTCATTTTTAAACCATGTACTTGTCTACCATATTTAAATTCTTTCTCAGACCATTATGACTGAAAAGAAAAAAGGAAAAATTTACAGGTAGTCCTCAACTTACAACCACAATTGAGCCCAACGTTTCTGTTGTTAAGTGACACATTTGTTGAATTCTGCCCCATGTTACAACTTTTCTTCCACATTTGTTAAGTGAACCACTGCAGTTGATAAGTTAACTCATTAAGTGAATCTGGTTTTCCTGTTGACTTTGCTTGTCAAAAGGATACAAAAGATGGCCGTTTGACCTTGGGACAGAGCAACTGTAATAAGTATGAACCAGTTGTCATGCATTTGAATTTTGATCACATGATCATGGGACTGATACAAAGGCTGTAAGTGTGAAAAATGGTCATAAGTCACTTTTTTTAATGCCATTGTAATTTTGAACAGTCACTAAATGAACTTTGTAAGTCAAGGACTACCTGATTAGAAGTTACTGCAATTGGTTATAAATTATACTTTTTACTCTTCCATCTTTTCCCCCCCCCTGTGGTGAACTGGAAAATTATCAACTTTAATCTCCTCTGAGGCTATCTTAAACTATTCTCTTCACATTTTCTGAAAATCTGCGGCAAATCCAAGGAGTCATACAGTTAAACTTTGGTTTGAATCCCCTTGTGGTAAAGAATGTTTTCCATCAGACAAAGTGTAAAATATTTCAAATTATTTTCTTGCTATTCTAGATCTGAACACATTTGCAAATTTACACTTGGTAAAACAAACAAATGCTAGCAAAAAGCTTGCTTCCTTCTTAACTCATTCTTTCCCATCGGTGCACATGTGATTAACTAAACCCAACTAAAACAGAGTTTGGATCGTCCATCTTCTTTTCCTTTTTCAATTACTTTTAAAAATTGCAGCTGCAATTTCATTGGCTGTTTTGTTTTTTCTATAGTGCTTCAGCATATCTTGGTTTTTAATAGGTTCAAACATGCATTATATAATTTACTAGAAAATAGTTACTAGAAATCATTTAAGATATAAGCCAGTTTTCAATTAACTTCATAAAGGATGAACGCATTTTGCACAAATGTACTATCATATTAAAATAGAAGTTCCTGTTCACAAAAGAATTTTATAAAGCTTGTAAAAAATAATCCCCAACAGCACTAGTAAAGATTTGAATTAAAACCTGCATTTCTATACAGGAGCCAGATTGCAGAACACCAGGAAACAAGAGAAGTTCTAACAACATCTCTAATTCTAAAATCTGTTAGGATATTAGTAAGTTATTGCACTATTTATTATCTACAGATCATTAGCTCTTCATATGTAACATCCTAGAGCAGGTGGGTCGTAACAATTATGAACACTTTTGCAATTTAAAAGAAGCACCTCTTATCTTTGTGATGGAAGAAAACTAAGTTTGATTTTCTGCCAACTGAAAAATACAGAATGCAACAGAAGTCAATAATGACTAGCATCACAGTAGGTGTTTCAGAAAATATTTCAAAGTGAGATGATGATGGTAATTTTTATTATATACATGCCTGCTGGACCAATCTGCCTCCATGTCTATGTAAAAATGCTGCAATTTAGTTTCATTTTGCTCTACCCTTAAAAATGTATGTATCTAATTGTTAGTTGTTCCAGGGCATTAAGCTGACTTATTTAGTAGCATGTATGACCTCAAACACTCTCAGTTAATGAGCATTTCATGGTAGTTATTTCTTAACCTACACTATTAAACCTCAGAGAATTATTACAAAATGAAGGAAAAAGATGATTGGATAAAAGTTATGTTGAATTGCTGAAATAATGTGAAAACTGGAAATAGTTCCCATCCAAATACTATAAAGGTTTTGAGTTGAGAACAAGACTACATTGGCAATGAAATTTTCAGATTATGACCAGATAATTTATTCTCTAGTCTCAACCAAGGCACATCCGATTCTCTCCTGGGAATATGTTTGAGATACATATATTTACATATATTTGCTTTGACGATCATAGAAAAATTGCTGACAAATAATTAGATTTCTAACTCACAACTGACTTCTCAAGTAGGCCTCTAAAAGGTCTCTGCAGTAGGAATGTAAGGTTATGCAATGCTTATCTATAAATAGGTTATTCAGATCTAATCACTGAATAAACACATATGCCCTGTTTCTCCAACAATATGGCCTCCCCCAATAGGAAGTCCCAGCATGTTTTATAGGCATGAAATGAAATTAAGCCCCTCCCCCCAAATTAAGGCCTATATTAAAACATGCAAAATAGGGGGAATGGTGGGGGGGGCTAGGAAGTACTTTTGTTGCACACCTGGATACGGTGCTGCCTGCGTTGACCTCGATACGAAGTGCCCCACCAACGCCGAGGTGAACATCTAAGCTGTTGCTGCCCGCCCGCCCAAAGATGCAAGGGGGGGGGAATTAAGTCACCCCCAAAAAGACGACCTAGACATTTTTTCGGGGCTTAAAAAAAAAAAAAGACCCGGTCTTATTATATGAGAAACACGGTAGATGTAGCAGTTCTGAGTTATTTAGGTAAGTCAACCCGCCTTACGTTTTATGTTATGTTCTTGATTTTCAAAGACAGTGAAATTTATTAATTAAAATTGCTTTGTACACTTTTTTGTACAAATGACAATTTCTGTCCTTCAGAAAAAACATAATCATTTTAGTCTAATTATTTAGGCTAAATGTTGCTAATTTTTTGTTTCTTCAACACTGGGGTTGAGAAATAGAAACCACACTGTCTGCTAATTTGTGAATTGATAACAGAAGGATAATGTCAGGGTTCTGACCAATGCCCTAACAAAATTAAGAGTCTCAAGCCATCTAGCAATAAAAATCCAGTTGTTTATTAGGAGCATCATGTTGGTACTTCCTAGTGAAGCCAGCTGTGGCGTCACCTAATCTGTGCCTTGCCTCTGTCCCTGTTTCCCCCTCTCCCCCAGAGTGTGTCACTAGTCACATTCCCCAATGAAGCAATTTTGCGGGTTGTAGAAATCACTCCCTCCAGCCGCTGCAGGTCTCCGTGGAGATGGCCTTGACTTTGGCTGGCTAGGCTACGTCTTGTTTTGATTGAGGTGTGAATTCCTTGGTGCAGCTGCGAGGTGCGATTCCCATCCCCCTGCTTATGGCAACTTGGGAGCAGGTCAGGAAAGAGTCATGAATTGACAGATAACAGCCCCCAGCCTCTTGACTCACAGTGATATCACAATAGATGTTTTGATGAACAAACAATTTAAAGGTGGTACATAATATCACAGAGGAAGTTTATCAAATAAAGAAGTAATACGTGCAATTCATCAGAAGCACATTCAGCATAAATTAGTTTAATGGAAATGTGGTCTAACTAATTATCTTAAAAAAAACTCTTAGCACGAAAGTAATTTAACGTTACTCCATAAATATTAATAAACTATTGGACAATAAGCTGTGAATGGTTTCAAATTTAAAAATCATTCTTTTTAATTCCAGGTAAAAGTAATTGAAAATTAAAGCAACATGAACATTGTTTTGGTAAAAAACAGGACCATATGTTCAATCTCCTCTTTTCAATTTCTCACATTCAAAAGTGGGAAATCTATAACAGACATTTATATCCCATTGTAACTCCTTAAATGAACTGGAACTCAAATAAATTAGATACCTGGGTTCTAGTATTAGCTAAATTCACTTTTAACCCAAACAAAACCAGAGTTCTAGAGCTCGTGGTTAGACATGGAAGAAATAAAATAATTAATACTAATGTGCATTTCAATTCCAATAAATAAATCATTTTGAGGCTGAAACATTCTAATCTTCAGAGACTTCAGAGGATAATTAGGACTGCAGAAAAAACAATTTATACCAACCTGCCTTCAATTGAGGAACTGTATATTGCATGAGTCAAAAAGAGGGCTGGAAAATATTTACAGACCCCTCACATCCCGGACATAAACAGTTTCAACTCCTACCTTCAAAACGATGCTAGAGAGCACTGCACATCAGAACAACTAGACACAAAGACAGTTTTTTCCAAACGCCATCACTCTGCTAAACAAATAATTCCCTCAACACTGTCCAACTATTTACAAAATCTGCACTACTATTACTACTAATCTTCTCATCACTCCTTATCACCCATCCCCTCCTACTTGTGACTGTATGACTGCAACTTTGTCGCTTGTATCCTTACGATTTATATTGACTTTTCC